TTGTTCCAGGTCCTCACACAGGGCTTGTAAATTGTTCCAGGTCCTCACACAGGGCTTGTAAATTGTTCCAGGTCCTCACACAGGGCTTGTAAATTGTTCCAGGTCCTCACACAGGGCTTGTAAATTGTTCCAGGTCCTCACACAGGGCTTGTAAATGACTCCAGCGTCTCCTTCCAGCTTCTATAATTGTGTTTCTCCTATGATTGTCCCCTCCCTCCCCCTCCCTCTCCCCCACCCTCCCCCTCTTCCCCACCTCACCAAGCACCAAATGTTCGCTTCACACAGGCATTGCTCTCCCCATTACTGCCTGTGTACACCCCGCTGTGTACCCTTGTGTACACCCCGCTGTGTACCTTGGTGTACACCCCGCTGTGTACCCTGGTGTACACCCCGCTGTGTACCCTTGTGTACACCACGCTGTGTACCCTGGTGTACACCCCGCTGTGTACCGTTGTGTACACCCCGCTGTGTCCCGTTGTGTACACCCCGCTGTGTACCCTTGTGTACACCCCGCTGTGTACCGTTGTGTACACCCCGCTGTGTACCCTTGTGTACACCCCGCTGTGTACCCTGGTGTACACCCCGCTGTGTCTCGTTGTGTACACCCCGCTGTGTCCCGTTGTGTACACCCCGCTGTGTACCGTTGTGTACACCCCGCTGTGTACCCTTGTGTACACCCCGCTGTGTACCCTGGTGTACACCCCGCTGTGTACCCTTGTGTACACCCCGCTGTGTACCCTTGTGTACACCCCGCTGTGTACCCTTGTGTACACCCCGCTGTGTACCCTTGTGTACACCCCGCTGTGGACCCTGGTGTACACCCCGCTGTGTACCCTTGTGTACACCCCGCTGTGTACCCTTGTGTACACCCCGCTGTGTACCCTGGTGTACACCCCGCTGTGTACCCTTGTGTACACCCCGCTGTGTACCCTGGTGTACACCCCGCTGTGTACCCTTGTGTACACCCCGCTGTGTACCCTTGTGTACACCCCGCTGTGTACCCTGGTGTACACCAGTTAGGCAACGGTTGTGGGGTTTACCTGCTATCGAGATGATTTCGGGGCTTAGCGTCCCCGCGGCCCGGTCCTCGACCAGGCCTCCTTTTTGTTACACATCCCCAGGAAGCAGCCCGTAGCAGCTGTCTAACGCTCAGGTACCTAGTTATTGCTAGTTGAACAGGAGCATCAGGGTGAAAGAAACTCTGCCCATTTGTCTCCGCCTCCACCGGGGATCAAACCCGGAACCTCAGGACTACGAATCCGAAGCGCTGTCCACCCAGCTATCAGACTAGGTCAACCTCTAGGGAGTACTTCCCCGGGGTACTCCCACGGGATACTCCCACTGGGTACTACCACGGGGGTATTCCCACGGGATGCCACAACCTGTGGCATGTAAAATTACCCCCTGTACCCCCCGGGGTACTCATTATTGTCAAGAGCTCTATATCAAGCCAACCATTTGTATTAGAGTACCGTTGGTACTCTATGGCCGGAATTCAAAGTGACAAACAAATCAATGTGTTATACTTTGAAAAATAGTAATAAAACTATTTTATAATACTTTTTCCAAACATTTTGGCAAATGAGGTACTCTGGTTGCTAGTCAATAGTGTGGTTAACGTTGACCTGATCACCCTTGTGGCGACGCTGCTCTTTTGTCTGCGGTTCGTGACCCGTATTGAGGCACAGACTTAGCAGCACACGAGGAGGAAGTGGCTCGGGGAACTATGCCACAAGGAGAACTACGCCGCGCTCACCAAGCTAATAACTTTATGCAAGTTTAGGGTCGCAATCTCCCTAGGAGGGTGCCGCTGGGAGCTACCCTCCGCGAGCGGTGAGCAGGTGAGCCAGCCAATGAGAACTCGGCTTGCGCGAGGAGCCAATCAGGGAGTTTGTAAGGCTGTTGCAGACTATATAATCCGCTGGCGGCCGGGTGCTCCAAATGGACCCTTGTACCAAATCCAAGTGTACACATGTTATGCCCGCTAATGGAGAGAAGGAGTTTCCATAGCCTTTGGCATGTAAAATTAGTTAGCCTATTAAGTGGTGTGGAGGAACTAGAGTATTGTTCAGGTAGGGCTTGAGCCACTCGTGACCTGTGGTGGAGGGTGACCTGTGGTGGTGGCTGACCTGTGGTGGTGGGTGACCTGTGGTGGAGGGTGACCTGTGGTGGTGGGTGACCTGTGGTGGAGGGTGACCTGTGGTGGAGGGTGACCTGTGGTGGAGGGTGGCCTGTGGTGGAGGGTGATCTATGGTGGTGGTGGGTGACCTGTGGTGGTGGGTGACCTGTAGTGGAGGGTGACCTGTGGTGGAGGGTGACCTGTGGTGGAGGGTGACCTATGGTGGTGGAGGGTGACCTGTGGTGGAGGGTGACCTGTGGTGGAGGGTGGCCTGTGGTGGAGGGTGACCTATGGTGGTGGTGGGTGACCTGTGGTGGTGGGTGACCTGTAGTGGAGGGTGACCTGTGGTGGAGGGTGACCTGTGGTGGAGGGTGACCTGTGGTGGTGGGTGACCTGTGGTGGAGGGTGGCCTGTGGTGGAGGGTGACCTATGGTGGTGGTGGGTGACCTGTGGTGGTGGGTGACCTGTAGTGGAGGGTGACCTGTGGTGGAGGGTGACCTGTGGTGGTGGGTGACCTGTGGTGGTGGGTGACCTGTGGTGGTGGGTGACCTGTAGTGGAGGGTGACCTGTGGTGGAGGGTGACCTGTGGTGGTGGGTGACCTGTAGTGGAGGGTGACCTGTGGTGGAGGGTGACCTGTGGTGGAGGGTGACCTATGGTGGTGGAGGGTGACCTGTGGTGGAGGGTGACCTGTGGTGGAGGGTGACCTGTGGTGGAGGGTGACCTATGGTGGTGGAGGGTGACCTGTGGTGGTGGAGGGTGACTCAGCCACAGTGACAGCACGCGGACAGTAACTGTGTAACAAGTGGGCTGAGGACAGGATTATTACAGGCAGCTGGTGAGCGAAACCTTCCAGTGTGTATCTCAGTATTGTTAAGTGATCACCGTGTCTCAGCTGTACACAAAGGTGTCTCAGCTGTACACAAAGGTGTCTCAGGTGTACACAAAGGTGCCTCAGGTGTACACAATGGTGCCTCAGGTGTACACAAAGGTGTCTCAGGTGTACACAATGGTGCCTCAGGTGTACACAATGGTGCCTCAGGTGTACACAAAGGTGTCTCAGGTGTACACAAAGGTATCTCAGGTGTACACAAAGATAGGGGTACACCATCTTCGTAAACTAGGTTTACTTTGTGCTTCTTAAAGAATATCACTGAAGGCTTGGAGGGGTCATGTATTAGAGTAGAGCTTCCCTCCTGTTGATGGTATTATGTTATCGAATTGAGGAATTGTTCTTGACACGGTCACGTCGTCTCTCACATGGCACTCAGCTCGGCCACACCAACTCCCACTTGGCACTTGACCTCCCCTACCCAGTGCCCACACCCACACACACACACCTGTCTTACACACGTGACCCCATCACCCACACGTGACCCCATCACCCACACACCTCTCACACATAAGATATCTAGATTGCAAGTTGAGACCCGCCAGGTATGGATATAGGTGGACTTCCGCTGCCTCGCTTGGGTACTGCCGCTGCCTCGCTTGGGTACTGCCGCTGCCTCGCCTGGGTACTGCCACTGCCTCGCCTGGGTACTGCCGCTGCCTCACCTGGGTACTGCCGCTGCCTCACCTGGGTACTGCCGCTGCCTCGCCTGGGTACCGACGCTGCCTCACCTGGGTACTGCCGCTGCCTCGCCTGGGTACCGACGCTGCCTCACCTGGGTACTGCTGCTGCCTCACCTGTGTACTGCCGCTGCCTCATCTGGGTACTGCCGCTGCCTCACCTGGGTACCGACGCTGCCTCACCTGGGTACTGCCGCTGCCTCACCTGGGTACCGACGCTGCCTCACCTGGGTACTGCCGCTGCCTCACCTGGATACTGCCGCTGCCTCACCTGGGTACCGACGCTGCCTCACCTGGGTACTGCCGCTGCCTCACCTGAGTACTGCCGCTGACTCGCCTCGGTACTTAGAACGTATGAGTGAAGGCAGTCAACAAAGGGGGCGGTGTAAGGTACCAAAAAACACCACGAACTTGTGAAATGTTTATTGAAATACAATGGCAGACAAGCAACAAAGTCAGACATTTATGTGAGGGTGAGTGATGGTGGAGTGTGAGGTGGTGTGGTGGTGAGTGTGAGGGAGGGTGGCCAGGGAAGGGAGTGGCCAGGGGAGGGTGTGGCCAGGGGAGGGTGTGGCCAGGGGAGGGTGTGGCCAGGAGAGGGTGTGGCCAGGGAGGGTGTGGCCAGGGGAGGGTGTGGCCAGGGGAGGGTGTGGCCAGGGGAGGGTGTGGCCAGGGGAGGGTGTGGCCAGGGGAGGGTGTGGCCAGGAGAGGGTGTGGCCAGGGGAGGGTGTGGCCAGGGGAGGGTGTGGCCAGGAGAGGGTGTGGCCAGGAGAGGGTGTAGCCAGGGAAGGGTGTGGCCAGGGGAGGGTGTGGCCAGGGGAGGGTGTAGCCAGGAGAGGGTGTGGCCAGGAGAGGGTGTGGCCAGGGGAGGGTGTGGCCAGGGGAGGGTGTAGCCAGGGGAGGGTGTAGCCAGGAGAGGGTGTGGCCAGGGGAGGGTGTGGCCAGGGGAGGGTGTAGCCAGGAGAGGGTGTGGCCAGGGGAGGGTGTGGCCAGGGGAGGGTGTGGCCAGGAGAGGGTGTGGCCAGGGGAGGGTGTGGCCAGGGGAGGGTGTGGCCAGGGGAGGGTGTGGCCAGGAGAGGGTGTGGCCAGGAGAGGGTGTGGCCAGGAGAGGGTGTAGCCAGGGAAGGGTGTGGCCAGGGGAGGGTGTGGCCAGGAGAGGGTGTGGCCAGGGGAGGGTGTGGCCAGAGGAGGGTGTGGCCAGGGGAGGGTGTGGCCAGGGGAGGGTGTGGCCAGGAGAGGGTGTGGCCAGGGGAGGGTGTGGCCAGGGGAGGGTGTGGCCAGGAGAGGGTGTGGCCAGGAGAGGGTGTGGCCAGGGGAGGGTGTAGCCAGGAGAGGGTGTGGCCAGGAGAGGGTGTGGCCAGGGGAGGGTGTGGCCAGGGGAGGGTGTGGCACCAATGGGGATGAACACGCTACAACACCATCATGTTAAATGCTCAGAACCTAAATTACCACCAAAACGTATGCATTTTGACTACTTGTGTAGACCGAGCGGTGAGTGGTGAGCCCGCGGTGTGTGGTGAGCCCGCGGTGAGTGGTGAGCCCGCGGTGTGTGGGAAGGTTCAGGAGGTGATAGAGAGGGTGTGTGTGAGTAAGGTGGAGACGAAGTGTACATACGTGTGACCATAATTCCTTAACGTACACGGTGTGTGTACTTAAATGTACACCGTATTGCTGCAGTACGTGTGTGTGTGTACAGTGTGCATGTGCAGTACACAATGGTTACACCAGGCGGCTCACCACAAGACGCTGGGGATGTGTATCATATAAATTGATCTCCATATCCATAATTTTCCCCTGACAATTATTTCCCTATCATTAATTATTTCCCGACCCATAATTATTTCCCTAGCCTTTAATTATATCTTTAAACTCCTAATTTCTTTTATTTTTCCAAAGTAATTGATCAGTCATTTATTGTAGAAAAACTGTAAAAATTACTGAGCAGCCAATGATTGTGTTTCCCGCCACTCGACAACCAATGATTGCGTTTCCTCTCACTCGACAACCAATAAGTGTGTTTCCCGCCACTCGACAACCAATGATTGCGTTTCCCGCCACTCGACAACCAATAAATGTGTTTCCCGCCACTCGACTACCAATGATTGCGTTTCCCGCCACTCGACAACCAATGATTGCGTTTCCCGCCACTCGACAACCAATGATTGCGTTTCCCGCCACTCGACAACCAATGATTGCGTTTCCCGCCACTCGACAACCAATGATTGCGTTTCCCGCCACTCGACAACCAATGATTGCGTTTCCCGCCACTCGACAACCAATGATTGCGTTTCCCGCCACTCGACAACCAATGATTGTGTTTCCCGCCACTCGACAACCAATGATTGCGTTTCCCGCCACTGAGAGGCGAGGGCGAGGTATTTCAATACAAGTGTGTGGCCAATCTGATGCTAATAGGAGGCTACGGCCGTGACCATCAGGGCGCCGACCGTCAGGATGTTGGCTTAGGATGTCATGGCGTAGGCGGACCGGGCGGGGGCGATGAGGGCGCGGGCGTTCCTAGCGTGGGCCATCAGGGCGTGGGCGGTCAGGTGCGGGCGTCGTCGAGGCTGGCGAACTTGTACCTGCACGGCCAACGGGCGTCGATGTCGTGAATGGGGATGATTTCCTCGGAGGGCTTCTCCCCTCCCAGCTCCTCTCGGACCTGCAGATCACAGCACATCTCAACCACCGGCACATCATATCCACTTGGTTACCTCAGCCACACGCACATAGATCACTTCACCCACCAGCACATCTCACTCACCAGCACACTTCACCCACCAGCACATCTCACCCACCAGCACATCACAACACGCTTCAGCCACCAAAAGGTCAGGAACAAATCACAATACACCTCAGGTACTAGAAGCCCAGGAACAGATCACAGCACATCTGAGGCACCGGAAGCACACGAGCAGATCACAACACACCTCAGGTAGAAGCCCAGGAGCACATCAAAGCACATATGAAGCCCCAGAACCCTATAAGCAGATATAACAGCACATATATTGTACTTAATGTGTACCTGTTGTTCCCTTATTGTGTACCTGTTGTGCCCTTATTGTGTACCTGTTGTGCCCTTATTGTGTACCTGTTGTGCCCTTATTGTGTACCTGTTGTGTACCTGTTGTTCCCTTATTGTGTACCTGTTGTGCCCTTATTGTGTACCTGTTGTGCCCTTATTGTGTACCTGTTGTTCCCTTATTGTGTACCTGTTGTGCCCTTATTGTGTACCTGTTGTTCCCTTATTGTGTACCTGTTGTTCCCTTATTGTGTACCTGTTGTGCCCTTATTGTGTACCTGTTGTGCCCTTATTGTGTATCTGTTGTGCCCTTATTGTGTACCTGTTGTTCCCTTATTGTGTACCTGTTGTTCCCTTATTGTGTACCTGTTGTTCCCTTATTGTGTACCTGTTGTGCCCTTATTGTGTTCCTGTTGTTCCCTTATTGTGTTCCTGTTGTGCCCTTATTGTGTACCTGTTGTTCCCTTATTGTGTACCTGTTGTGCCCTTATTGTGTACCTGTTGTGCCCTTATTGTGTACCTGTTGTTCCCTTATTGTGTACCTGTTGTTCCCTTATTGTGTTCCTGTTGTTCCCTTATTGTGTACCTGTTGTTCCCTTATTGTGTTCCTGTTGTTCCCTTATTGTGTACCTGTTGTGCCCTTATTGTGTACCTGTTGTTCCCTTATTGTGTACCTGTTGTGCCCTTATTGTGTTCCTGTTGTTCCCTTATTGTGTTCCTGTTGTTCCCTTATTGTGTACCTGTTGTTCCCTTATTGTGTACCTGTTGTTCCCTTATTGTGTACCTGTTGTGCCCTTATTGTGTACCTGTTGTGCCCTTATTGTGTACCTGTTGTGCCCTTATTGTGTACCTGTTGTTCCCTTATTGTGTACCTGTTGTTCCCTTATTGTGTACCTGTTGTTCCCTTATTGTGTACCTGTTGTGCCCTTATTGTGTTCCTGTTGTTCCCTTATTGTGTACCTGTTGTGCCCTTATTGTGTACCTGTTGTTCCCTTATTGTGTACCTGTTGTTCCCTTATTGTGTACCTGTTGTTCCCTTATTGTGTACCTGTTGTTCCCTTATTGTGTACCTGTTGTTCCCTTATTGTGTACCTGTTGTTCCCTTATTGTGTACCTGTTGTGCCCTTATTGTGTTCCTGTTGTTCCCTTATTGTGTACCTGTTGTGCCCTTATTGTGTTCCTGTTGTTCCCTTATTGTGTACCTGTTGTGCTCTTATTGTGTACTAAAGGTGTACGAATTGTGTAGCTGTTTCCCCTTCTTGTTGCCATGTTAAAGCTTTCATTCATTTTACACTTGGTGAATGAATAATGTCTTCATTGTTATCCATTCTTACAAGAATATAATATTCTTCCATGTAAAATTCTACAGTCTTGCGAACGTCATCAATAGAATTATTAATAGAATTAATATAATTAGAACGCTTAATTTCTATGACCAGGCATCAAAACTTAGGCAAGAAAGAGAAGGGTGGGCAGACTGCATTTTCTTGCACTATCAGCCTTACAAACGTCCGCCAGCATGAATTCAACAGCCTTACAAAATCCAGCCAACATACACTAGCCTTCCAAAAGTCAGTTAACCAACAACTGTTCAAGAGAACTGCCACAACCACTCAACCAGTCAGCCATACAACTGTTCAAGAGAACTGCCACAACCACTCAACCAGTCAGCCATACAACAGCCAATCAACTGCCTCAACAACACGACCATCAGCACCTGTTCCACTCTCCTGAAGACTCGCAGGAGATTGAGGCCAGCCAGCTTCTTCAGATCCTGCAAGGACCAGGTGGGATCCTTCAGCAGTTCGGCGAAGAGTTCAGGGTATCGCGAGACGTCCTCCAGTCCCTCCGGCGTCCTGCGGGAGTAAGGCGGGAGAGTTACGAGTGCCTCAGCGAGGGAGGAGAGATGGTTGGCTGAAGTCCTGCTGGTGTGAGAGCTGGGAGACTCGGTTGTTTAAAATGTGTTCTGTTTTGAAGCTACCCCTGGCGTGATGTTGTATGTGGTGTAGGTGGCAGGGTATGAGGGTGTATGTGGTGTAGGTGGGCTGGGTATGAGGCTGTATGTGGTGTAGGTGGGCTGGGTATGAGGCTGTATGTGGTGTAGGTGGGCTGGGTATGAGGCTGTATGTGGTGTAGGTGGGCTGGGTATGAGGCTTTATGTGGTGTAGGTGGGCTGGGTATGAGGCTTTATGTGGTGTAGGTGGGCTGGGTATGAGGCTTCATGTGGTGTAGGTGGGCTGGGTATGAGGCTGTATGTGGTGTAGGTGGGCTGGGTATGAGGCTGTATGTGGTGTAGGTGGGCTGGGTATGAGGCTTTATGTGGTGTAGGTGGGCTGGGTATGAGGCTTTATGTGGTGTAGGTGGGCTGGGTATGAGGCTTTATGTGGTGTAGGTGGGCTGGGTATGAGGCTGTATGTGGTGTAGGTGGGCTGGGTATGAGGCTGTATGTGGTGTAGGTGGGCTGGGTATGAGGCTTTATGTGGTGTAGGTGGGCTGGGTATGAGGCTTTATGTGGTGTAGGTGGGCTGGGTATGAGGCTTTATGTGGTGTAGGTGGGCTGGGTATGAGGCTTCATGTGGTGTAGGTGGGCTGGTGTACCCCATAAAATGTTGTTACAAAAATTAGAGAACCAGGCAGGAGAAAAAAGTAAGGTGCTGCAGTGGATAAGGGAGTACCTAAGCAACAGGAAACAGCGAATAACTGAAGGGGGAGACATAAGAGTGGCGAGATGTCACCAGCGGAGTCCCACAGGGCTCTGTACTTGGACCCATCCTGTTTCTAATATATGGTAACGATCTTCCAGGGGGTATAGACTCAATGTTTGCTGATGATGACAAAATTATGAGAAGAATCATGACAGATGAAGATAGACGGAGACTACAGGACGGCCTGAACGAACTGGAGGAATGGTCTAGAAAATGGCTACTAAAGTTTAACTCGGGAAAGTGTAAAGTAATGAAATTCGGCGAAGGGAGCAGGAGGCTGAACACAATGTACCATCTAGGAGGTGAAATCCTACAAGAGTCAAATAGAGAGAAAGATCTGGGGGTTGATATCACACCGAACCTGTCCCCAGAGGCCCACATCAAAAGGATATCATCAGCGGCAAATGCTAGATTGGTCAACATAAGAACTGCCTTTAGAAAGTTGTGTAAGGAAGCGTTCAGAACTATGTGTATCACTTATGTCAGACCAATCCTGGACTATGCAGCTCCAGCCTGGAGTCCATACTTAAACACAAGACAATGTTAGAGAAGATTCAGAAGTATGCCACCAGACTAGTCCCAGAACTGAGAGGTATGAGCTTCGAGGAAAGGCTAAGAGAGCAAAGCGTCACGTCCCTGGAAGACTGAAGAGTAGGGGGGGGGGGGAGACAACCACCACCTACAATGATAACCACCTACTATATTCTCAGGGGAATTGACAGGGTAGACAAAAACAATCTATTTAGCACGGGTGGGACACGAACAAGGGGACACAGGTGTAAACTTAGTACCCAAATGAGCCACAGAGACATTAGAAATAATTTGTTCAGTGTCAGAGTAGTTAACAGATGGAATGCATTAGGCAGTAATGTGGTGGAGGCTGACTCCATACACAGTTTCAAATGTAGATATAATAGAGCCCAGTAGGCTCAGGAATATGTACACCAGTTGATTAACAGTTGAGAGGCGGAACCAAAGAGCCAGAGCTCAACCCCCACAAGCACAACTAGGTGTACAGACAGAGTGTTCGCCCCGCTGCAGGAACACAGCAGGGATCTCTCTTTAGTTCCCTACTAACAATGAGCCTGTCATCAAATTTATCCCAATATTTTTTTCTTCACAAAATGTCAATCATTCATTATGCAGGCGGCGGGAGCGGTTGTTGTCGTTCTCACTCTCTATCATAAGTCTACTCATGTTAACGCTGGGCTTTAATCTCCAGTTTTTATAACGTCACTTGATGAAACTCTCTTACTGTTATTTACAAAATAATGTGTCATTAATTTGCATAATAATTAGTGCATTTAATAAATTTTAATATTTCTTCGCAATGAGATTATGGTGGATGGTCGCTTGTTTAGTCCAGCCTTAATTGTTTGTTACTTTAAACAAAAAACATCCGAAGAAACTTTCTCATTCTGATTTGATTCCTGAATCCAGTAGACCAGGAAGCTTGGCGTGTTGGGCTCCCACGGGGACCCTGGCTAGAGTTTACTGTCATAGACAGAGAGAAAACTTGCTGTCAGCCTCTGTCTCACTATAGGCCTTGCTAGACATCCACGAGGCGCCAGGAGTGTCTGTCTCTATGTCTACCTCTCTGTATTTCTGCCTACTTATCTGCGTGCTTGCCTCTCTGTCTTCCTGTCTATTTGTTTGCTTGTATAAATATCTGCTTTTGTGTGTATTTATGTGTCTACTTGCGTCTGTGTTTGCTCGTCTGGCCAGCCACCGCTCGTTCCATCACAGTATTTACGTGCCCGTTCGTGCCCGCATTCGCCTTTAACAGTCCCTGTGGTGTAATGAAGACTGGCGCCCCGTGATGCGTGTATATAATCCCTAACTGCTTTGTTGAATGCTAGAAAAATGGATCACTGATTTTCAGAAAGCTGAGATCAATTTACAAATGGAACAGAGACACAAACGAGGAGAAGAGGCAGAGATGAGGAGAGATACAGAGAAAGGGCAGAGATGAGGAGAGATACAGAGAAAGGGCAGAGAGAGAGACAGAGAGCTACAAAGAGAGAGGAGAGAGAGAGAGCTACAAAGAGAGAGGAGAGACAGAGAGCTACAAAGAGAGAGGAGAGACAGAGAGCTACAAAGAGAGAGGAGAGAGAGAGAGCTACAAAGAGAGAGGAGAGACAGAGAGCTACAAAGAGAGAGGTGAGACAGAGAGCTACAAAGAGAGAGGAGAGACAGAGAGCTACAAAGAGAGAGGAGCCACAGATGGTCAAATGAGGGAGCATGGCGTGAGTCAACCTTCATTGTTACACTCGGCAATACAATGTTTACGTTAGAGCTTTGGCCGCTTCGCTCCTCTTACTCTGAATCTGTTCAGGCCTTTGAGGCTTCTTAATGAAGAGTTGCCACACAAGACCTGGAGTCTTGTTGCCACACAAGACCAGGAGCCTTGTTGCCACACAAGACCTGGAGCCTTGTTGCCACACAAGACCAGGAGCCTTGTTGCCACACAAGACCAGGAGCCTTGTTGCCACACAAGACCTGGAGTCTTGTTGCCACACAAGACCAGGAGCCTTGTTGCCACACAAGACCTGGAGTCTTGTTGCCACACAAGACCAGGAGCCTTGTTGCCACACAAGACCTGGAGCCTTGTTGCCACACAAGACCAGCAGCCTTGTTGCCACACAAGACCTGGAGCCTTGTTGCCACACAAGACCTGGAGTCTTGTTGCCACACAAGACCAGGAGTCTTGTTGCCACACAAGACCAGGAGCCTTGTTGCCACACAAGACCAGGAGCCTTGTTGCCACACAAGACCAGCTGGGATAGTGGAACACCAAGAACACACACAGCTTCTAACAAAGCTTCTAACAAAGCTTCAACATGAATTCATAGACTTGGTGTCGTGCCTGACAAACCCTTTGGAATTCCATTTCAGGATATCAGTAATTGGACAGGAAAGATAATAATGGCTGACTGCATCTTCTCGGGGTGACAGAAAGCCTTTGACACTGTTTGACACAAGATATAACTCCCCAAGCTTGAAAAACAAGCTGGAGTAAATAGTAGTGACTGACGAGAGAGAGAATAGTGAGATGGGGCAAGCAAGAGGTGAGAGAGAGAGAGAGAGAGAGAGAGAGAGAGAGAGAGAGAGAGAGAGAGAGAGAGAGAGAGAGAGAGAGAGAGAGAGAGAGAGAGAGAGAGAGAGAGAGAGAGAGAGAGAGAGAGAGAGAGAGAGAGAGAGAGAGAGAGAGAGAGAGAGAGAGAGAGAGAGAGAGAGAGAGAGAGAGAGAGAGAGAGAGAGAGAGAGAAGAAGAAGAAGAAGAAGAAGACAGGCTGACTATCTCCCAATAAAACACTGTTCTCTGGGTTCAAAGTTTGAGTTAAAAACGTGGTGGTGAACCATCGAGATGGCGAGTAACGAGGCGAAGCTCCGGACTTGCTCAAACAAAAGCTAATCACTTCAATTAACTCCGGAACCCGCGGCTTTAACTCTGGCAGGTGTGGGGATTCAAACCTCTCGCCAACAGAGGATCCAGATCTCCTGCCTTTAAGGGATTCGTGATACCGGGCTCTTATAGGATTAGGAGTCACTCGAGTAGCATGAAATAGTTTACAGGAAGTTTGAAAGCTTACGGAAAGGAGGAAGCCTCTCAGGAGTTGTCTAGGAGCGCGGGGCGCTTCAGCTTCCTGAAAACGACTAAAGGAACATGGGAAAAATTTCACTCTCTCAGGGTTTTTCTGTTATCTCGCAAAATGGTCTTAAAAAAAAAAAAGCCTTCTGGAGTTCCGATAAGACTCAAAGTTTCTGCAAAACGCCATATTTTCAGGAAATGTCTCAAGGACTTGGGAAGATTTAGAGACTCGTAGAAGTCTTAGAGGATTCACTGAAGGCTTTGGGACTTGTGGAAGACTTAGGGGGACTCGATGAAGACTTAGGAACTAGTGGAAGATTTAGGGACTCATGGACTTAAGCACTAGAACTAGGAGACCTAGAGATTAACAAGCAAACTCGGGAGATCGACGGCATCCAGAGACCTAAAAAGAGGGCCGAAGTACCTTGTAAAGACCCCTGTAAGTTAGGGAAGGTCCAGGGACCTAGAGACGGAAGGACCCAGGAAGAAGCAGAAGGGAACCTTACCTGTTGATCCCGTCGAAGCCGGCACCAATACCAACGTGGTCCACCCCGGCCATCGTCCTCACCTGGTTGATGTGACCTGAGGGACGACGGTACGCTAATTACCATCTGGCTGGCCAAATTACCATCTGGCTGGCCAAATTATCATCTGGCTGGCCAAATTACCATCTGGCTGACCAAATTACCATCTGGCTGGCCAAATTACCATCTGGCTGGCCAAATTACCATCTGGCTGGCCAAATTACCATCTGGCTGGCCAAATTACCATCTAGCTGGCCAAATTACCATCTGGCTGGCCAAATTACCATCTGGCTGGCCAAATTACCATCTAGCTGGCCAAATTACCATCTGGCTGGCCAAATTACCATCTGGCTGACCAAATTACCATCTGGCTGGCCAAATTACCATCTGGTTGGCCAAATTACCATCTGGCTGGCCAAATTATCATCTGGCTGGCCAAATTACCATCTGGCTGGCCAAATTACCATCTGGCTGGCCAAATTACCATCTGGCTGCCCAAATTACCATCTGACTGGCCAAATTACCAGCTGGCTGGCCAAATTACCATCTGGCTGGCCAAATTATCATCTAGCTGGCCAAATTACCATCTGGCTGGCCAAATTACCATCTAGCTGGCCAAATTACAATCTGGCTGGCCAAATTACCATCTGGCTGGCCAAATTACCATCTAGCTGGCCAAATTACCATCTGGCTGGCCAAATTACCATCTAGCTGGCCAAATTACCATCTGGCTGGCCAAATTACCATCTGGCTGGCCAAATTACCATCTAGCTGGCCAAATTACAATCTAGCTGGCCAAATTACCATTTGGCTGGCCAAATTACCATCTGGCTGACCAAATTACCATCTAGCTGGCCAAATTACCATCTAGCTGGCCAAATTACCATCTGGCTGGCCAAATTACCATCTGGCTGGCCAAATTACCATCTGGCTGGCCAAATTACCATCTGGCTGACCAAATTACCATCTGGCTGGCCAAATTACCATCTGGCTGACCAAATTACCATCTGGCTGACCAAATTACCATCTGGCTGGCCAAATTACCATCTGGCTGACCAAATTACCATCTGGCTGACCAAATTACCATCTGGCTGGCCAAATTACCATCTGGCTGACCAAATTACCATCTGGCTGACCAAATTACCATCTGGCTGACCAAATTACCATCTGGCTGGCCAAATTACCATCTGGCTGGCCAAATTACCATCTGGCTTGACAGTGTAACACGCTACCACCTGGATGTAAAATGTAAATAAACCGAGGACCAATGTTATAAATGTAAGCAATTTGGGCAGCACTTGTAGGTCATGACCTTGGATGAGCCGTGGGGGGGGGGGAGGGAGGGGGGTAAAACACACACACACTAATTAACACCACGAAGGTACTTTTAACGACTCGAATAGCATCAGTCGTCAGATAAAAATTATCATCAATAAAAAAACACTAATTAGTGCCAGGTGAGGATGTATTTAAATTTTACACATATTACTAGGAAAACTTATCAGAGGTTTGTCCTTACCTAGTGTGTGTGTTTGTGTGTGTGTGTGTGTGTGTGTGTGTGTGTGTGTCTGTGTACACTCACCTATTTGTACTCTGCCTTACTTGTGCCTGCTCTTGGACCCCGTCTTTCTGGCTGCCAATGGAGTGACTCCGGACCTACTTCACTATCACATCTATAAGTTAAAATTATCAATGAAGTTCCCTTCTACAACGTTCTGCTTTAGTTTGTTCCATTCTCACTACTTTTACGCTAAAAGAAAACTTTTAACATCTATATTACTCATTTGATTCTTAAACTTCCATCCAGCCCCTCTTGTTCTAATGATATCCATTGTGAATATTTCCTCTTTTCCATTCTGTCAATCCCCCATAAGTATTTTATATGTCTCAATCATGTCTCCCCTCTTTTTCTAAGTCAGGACCACTTATTTCAGTGTTTCTTCATATTCCTCGTAGTTCAGGATCGAGCTTCGTAAATCTGTTTCTTCTCAAGCTTCCCTTATGCTTGCTTTTAAGTGAGCTCCACAGTTGGGCTTCATACTCATAAACTAGTCTCACGTAGGTGTATAGCTATCTAAAGGCCTCGTTATTTAGGTTCCTGAATGATGTCTGATGTATACACCTAGTCTCACGTAGGTGTATAGCTATCTAAAGGCCTCGTTATTTAGGTTCCTGAATGATGTCTGACTTTTGGTAGTGTAGAGTATGCTGCTGATGTTATCATGTGTATATGAGCCCCCGATGTTAGCCTCTTCCACCTGCCTCTCAAGTTTGAGAAGTAATCTCTAGTGAGGTACTGTCTTACTGCTTATATAGACTAAGCTCATACCGTACATAGCTTATATACACCATACACAGTTTATATGTAACATACACAGCTTATATACACACCATACACAGCTTATACACACCATAAATACACCATACGCAGCATATATACACCATACGCAGCATAAATACACCATACGCAGCTTATATGTAACATACTCAGCTTATATTCACCATACGTAGCTCTTTGGCAGTCCGGGAATACGCAATCAACGCCACTTTCTTTATTCTCCGTTATTTTTAGTTTCATTATCATTGAACTCCAGTAGGTTCGTTAGCCATGACGTTCCTTCCCTAGGTACGTTAGCCATGACGTTCCTTCCCTAGGTACGTTAGCCATGACGTTCCTTCCCTAGGTACGTTAGCCATGACGTTCCTTCCCTAGGTACGTTAGCCATGACGTTCCTTCCCTAAAGTCATGGTGATGCATTCCCCAAGTCACTACAGGTGTGTGTGTAACTAGCTTTGTTCTTATTACGCTTTCCAATACATTGCAGGAGGCTGCTTGTCAGTGGCACTGGCACTGGTTAAGTGCCTCTTCTCTCCCTCCTTTCTTGAGAATTGGTACCACGTTTGCCTTCTTCCTGGGGGGGCAATTCTCTCTTTGTAATAGAATAATTAAAGATCAATGCTGGAGGTACGCTGAGGGCCTGTGGTGCTTCTGTTAACATCCAAGGGGATACATCGTCTGGTTCAGTAGCTTTAGTTTCGTCGAGGGATGCTGGTTGTTTTGCCCTCTAGCATCACTTGATGAAGTAAGTGATGATAGATGTGCTTCCATTATGTAGTCGTAATGGCATGGCGCTTTCTCCTGATAGCTTAATTCCCCATAAATAGGGACGCGTCATAAATAAGAAATCCCTGTAAATAAGGACCCCTTAAATAGGGATTCCCCATAAGTAACGCATCCCCCATAAATAGGGACTTCCACAAAAATTCCCATAAATTGGGACTCCCCATAAGTAAGGAGTCCCTACAAATAGGGAATCCCCATGAATTTCAAACTCTCGGATGTTCAAAGAAGATTTCAGTAATAAGTTTCAAACGAGACGAAAAAGTGTCAAAATGCTATTGAGTGAAGATATATTAAAGTGTTATGGTTGGGGGGCGGGGAGTATTCCACTATATATGAGGTCAATGATGCAGATCAATGGCATTTCCTAAAGACATATTATAGCGTTATAGATCCGTGTTTAAATAACATTGTCCCGTTATTTAACGGGACAATGTTTCCACAGTGGAAACAATTAGATGTAAATGGTACCAGATTCGGGTTCGATCCCCCGCTATGGTGGAAACCAATGGGCAGGTTATTTCACCCTGATGCCCCTGTTACCTAGCAGTGAATAGGTACCTAAGGGAGTTAGACAGCTGCTACGGGCTGCGTCTTGGAGGGGAGGGGGGAATTAGTTGATTGATTGACAGTTGAGAGGCGGGTCGGAAGAGCCGAGCTCAACCCCCTGCAAGCACAATTAGGTGAATACTTGGTGAATACATAGCTTATATACACAAACCTCATACCATACACACCCACACCCATACAAGGAGCTGGTCGGCCGAGCGGACAGCACGCTGGACTTGTGATCCTGTGGTCCCGGGTTCGATCCCGGGCGCCGGCGAGAAACAATGGGCAGAGTTTCTTTCACCCTATGCCCCTGTTACCAAGCAGTAAAATAGGTACCTGGGTGTTAGTCAGCTGTCACGGGCTGCTTCCTGGGGGTGGAGGCCTGGTTGAGGACCGGGCCGCGGGGACACTAAAAAGCCCCGAAATCATCTCAAGATAACCTCAAGATAACCCTATATACAGCATACGCAGCCTATATACACTACACACAACTCATATATAACATACACAGCCTATATACACCATACACAGCTTATATACTGTACACTACAGATATCCATTACGCTCATATTCATACACAACGATACATCGTAATGTATCCTCAACATCGTGTATGACAGCCTCATACATCACCCTGTGACAAATACTAGCGTACCGTGACATTTTGTGACAGTCCACACTATGTATACCCGTCTTGTATGGTGGCCGTGGGGATCATGCACACTATACGTACCAACAACGTCCTGTATGGTGGCCGAGTGACTGCAGGTGAGGAAGTCTGTGTAGAAGCTCACCATAACGAGTCCTTCGTTCACGGCCTGAAAGAGAAAGGTGTTTCAGGGCCAGGCCCTGGTACCTGGGGCCACCACCAGGTCCTGGTACCTGGGGCCACCACCAGGTCCTGGTACCTGGGGCCACCACCAGGTCCTGGTACCTGGTACCTGGGGCCACCACCAGGTCCTGGTACCTGGTACCTGGGGCCACCACCAGGTCCTGGTACCTGGTTCCTGGGGCCACCACCAGGTCCTGGTACCTGGGGCCACCACCAGGTCCTGGTTCCTGGGGCCACCACCAGGTCCCAGCACTTGGTACCTGGGGCCACCACCAAGTCCCAGAACCTGGTACCTGGCCCACCACCAGGTCCTAGCACCTAGCCCTGACCCACCACCAGGTCCTAGCACCTAGCCCTGACCCACCACCAGGTCCCAGCACCTAGCCCTGGCCCACCACCAGGTCCCAGCACCTAGCCCTGACCCACCACCAGGTCCTAGCACCTAGCCCTGACCCACCACCAGGTCCTAGCACCTAGCCCTGACCCACCACCAGGTCCTAGCACCTAGCCCTGACCCACCACCAGGTCCTAGCACCTAGCCCTGGCCCACCACCAGGTCCCAGCACCTAGCCCTGGCCCACCACCAGGTCCCAGCACCTAGCCCTGACCCACCACCAGGTCCTAGCACCTAGCCCTGACCCACCACCAGGTCCTAGCACCTAGCCCTGACCCACCACCAGGTCCTAGCACCTAGCCCTGACCCACCACCAGGTCCCAGCACCTAGCCCTGGCCCACCACCAGGTCCCAGCACCTAGCCCTGGCCCACCACCAGGTCCTAGCACCTAGCCCTGACCCACCACCAGGTCCTAGCACCTAGCCCTGACCCACCACCAGGTCCTAGCACCTAGCCCTGACCCACCACCAGGTCCTAGCACCTAGCCCTGACCCACCACCAGGTCCTAGCACCTAGCCCTGACCCACCACCAGGTCCCAGCACCTAGCCCTGGCCCACCACCAGGTCCCAGCACCTAGCCCTGACCCACCACCAGGTCCTAGCACCTAGCCCTGACCCACCACCAGGTCCTAGCACCTAGCCCTGACCCACCACCAGGTCCCAGCATCTAGCCCTGGCCCACCACCAGGTCCTAGCACCTAGCCCTGACCCACCACCAGGTCCTAGCACCTAGCCCTGACCCACCACCAGGTCCCTGCACCTAGCCCTGACCCACCACCAGGTCCCAGCACCTAGCCCTGACCCACCACCAGGTCCCAGCACCTAGCTCTGACCCACCACCAGGTCCCAGCACCTAGCTCTGACCCACCACCAGGTCCTAGCACCTAGCTCTGACCCACCACCAGGTCCTAGCACCTAGCCCTGACCCACCACCAGGTCCCAGCACCTAGCTCTGACCCACCACCAGGTCCTAGCACCTAGCCCTGACCCACCACCAGGTCCCAGCATCTAGCTCTGACCCACCACCAGGTCCTAGCACCTAGCCCTGACCCACCACCAGGTCCCAGTATCTAGCTCTGACCCACCACCAGGTCCCTGCACCTAGCCCTGACCCACCACCAGGTCCCAGCACCTAGCCCTGACCCACCACCAGGTCCCAGCACCTAGCTCTGACCCACCACCAGGTCCCAGCACCTAGCTCTGACCCACCACCAGGTCCTAGCACCTAGCTCTGACCCACCACCAGGTCCTAGCACCTAGCCCTGACCCACCACCAGGTCCCAGCACCTAGCTCTGACCCACCACCAGGTCCTAGCACCTAGCCCTGACCCACCACCAGGTCCCAGCATCTAGCTCTGACCCACCACCAGGTCCTAGCACCTAGCCCTGACCCACCACCAGGTCCCAGCATCTAGCTCTGACCCACCACCAGGTCCTAGCACCTAGCCCTGACCCACCACCAGGTCCTAGCACCTAGCTCTGACCCACCACCAGGTCCCAGCACCTAGCTCTGACCCACCATCAGGTCCCAGCATCTAGCCCTGACCCACCACCAGGTCCTAGCACCTAGCTCTGACCCACCACCAGGTCCCAGCACCTAGCTCTGACCCACCACCAGGTCCCAGCACCTAGCCCTGACCCACCACCAGGTCCCAGCACCTAGCCCTGGCCCACCACCTAGCTCTGACCCACCACCAGGTCCCAGCACCTAGCTCTGACCCACCATCAGGTCCCAGCATCTAGCCCTGACCCACCACCAGGTCCCAGCACCTAGCTCTGACCCACCACCAGGTCCCAGCACCTAGCCCTGACCCACCACCAGGTCCCAGCATCTAGCCCTGACCCACCACCAGGTCCCAGCACCTAGCTCTGACCCACCACCAGGTCCTAGCACCTAGCCCTGAGGCAGTAACCAAACAATCATAATATGACAATGTAAATAGTCTATGTATTTTGTAGACCTAGCTTAATATTAACATTGGAATTATTAATATGTCAATATATTGTGCTTTGACTCTGTATATTTATGGCTGTATTATGTATGAACTCTAATTATAAATGTATAAATTTTTTTCATTACAATTATTGTTATTTTTTATCATTAGAATGATCACTTGTTGTATTTGGATATAATAGCTTCATTAATATGTTACTGCTTCTTTAAATAAATTTAAATTTAAATTGCTTCTTTATTAATAAACTTTAAATTATTATCATAACCCATTATTGATGATTTTATGTCTGGAATTTAATTAACACTGAGGCCTACCTTTGTGGTCGTTCCGCCATTTTTTTATGGGTCTACCTGTTGTCTGTGTCTACCCAATGGGTCTACCTGTTGTCTGTGTCTACCCAATGGGTCTACCTGTTGTCTGTGTCTACCCAATGGGTCTACCTGTTGTCTGTGTTTACCCAATGGGTCTACCTGTTGTCTGTGTCTACCCAATGGGTCTACCCAATGTCTGTGTCTAGTACTACATCATAAGACATATCCATCTATATTAACAGATTTTATTATTACAAAATCTTCTTTGATGAAAAGACGTCCCTAAATTATTTTTAATATATGCAAATTGAAATCACAACAGCGTGATGAATCAATTGTAATTATTGGAGTAATAAGTTGGGAAGCAAACACGTGGTTGTGGGCGAATGTGTAGTTTGTGTTCCTGGAGAGGTGCTTATATAATATATATATATATATATATATATATATATATATATATATATATATATATATATATATATATATAAAACACCTGTTGTCTTACTAATATTTTCCAATTAAAGAAAATCACAAGAGAAAGAACATTTGTTCATTTGTAACAGACATATTTACCAGGGAACTGAGGATGTCATCTGGTAGGTTCCTGTCAATGTGACAGAGGGCGCGGGTGGCGGAGTGGGAGAAGATGACGGGAGCGCGGGAGGCGGCCAGCACGTCCAGGGCCGTCCTGGCCGAGGCGTGAGACAGGTCCACCAGCATCCCAACACGGTTCATCTCCAAGATCATCTCCTGCAAGGAGACAAATATGATGCAGGGAGGAATGATTTGTGGGACTATATCAATCTACTCAGATTCATTCAGTTATCTAACCCACGCTTCAAACATTGAATATATTATTTAGATAATAAGAAAGACTTGGGTAAATACTGGTTTGGTAACAGGGTTGTTGATTTGTGGAACCAATTACCGCGAAACGTGCTGGAGGTGGGGTCCCTCGATTGTTTCAAGCGCGGGTTGGACAAGTATATGAGTGGGATTGGGTGGTTATAAACAATGCCCTGATATTGCTAGACTTTAGCCACCGATAGCGAGTCTTTTTCCTTGTTTATTTCCCTCTCGATTTTCAATAATTGGCAAATTTGCAAATATTGCTGCTCAAACTTGAATTTAAAACATTTATATATATATTATGAATAACAGAGTTCCCAGGACACAACCTAGAGGCACTCCACATACAACATTTTCCCACTCTGATTTAAATCATTTATACTAATTCTTTGTTTTTCCTTTAGTATAGTCATGCCCTAATTCAACTTAATATAGCACCCCCAATGCAGTGAGCCTCTTATCTTTTTAATCATTCTTTTATGTGGCACTGTATCATAAGCTTTTGAAATGGTCAAATGATTGGCAGATGCAGTTTGTTCTTATCATCAGTTGTTGAGGGCACTTGGTGTCAATTTGCCGACTGGACAAATATTGTAAATGAAATGCAATTTCATTCATTGATAACTAGGAACACTTCTATCGAAGGAATGACATGTATGCTCGAGATGGGACTCATTTATCTAGGTCTGGGGTTGTTGCTATTAGAACAAAGGCAACTGCAGAAGGCCTATTGGCCCATACGAGTACCATTGTCAACTCATTGGAATCTGTGGCTGGAGAAGTTTGTTTGGGTTTAAACTGTTAGTAGATAGTGGTATGAGAATTGATATGAAGAAAGGAAGCAATAAACATATGTGTCGGTAGAGGAAAAAATTGACAAAAGGAACAAGGAAGGAAAAAAAAGCCTCAAAATAACAATACACTTTAGGTATATTACACGAACAGTAGGAGTCTAAGAAACAAAATAAACAATTTAAATGCTCTTGTCTGGACAGAAACAATATATATTATTGCACTTACCGAAACATGGAGGAATACAAAAAAACAGAGAACTATTAGCTGAAAATCAAATAAATGTATTTAAACTATTTCACACAGATAGATATATTAGATGAGGAGGGGGAGTAGCCATATATGTTAGGGAAAATTTTAAATGTTGTCTCAAAAAGGGACAAGAAAAAAAGGAACTGAGGCTCACACAGAAACTATTTGGTTAGAATTAAATGAAAAAGCTAAAATTTTTATAACATACAGGCCACCTAACTTAGACAGAATGGAAGTTAAGCATCTATGGGATGATCTAAGTCTAACAGTATTTGTGTCATGGGTGACTTTAATTTTAGTGGTATAAACTGGCTTAACGGAACATAAAGGGATAATAATATTTTAGCCTTAGTTTTAACTAACAGGGAGACACAAACTAATGACATCGAAATAGGGAGTGAACGAGGGACCAGTGATCACAAAGAAATCAGATTTAGCATAGAATGAAATATATTTGTAGAAGAAAATTCTGTTAAAGTGCCAAATTTTCGAAAAGCTGATTTTAATACCCTAAGAAGTTTTTTGGGGCAAAATAGATTGAAAAGTCTTGGAGCGAGACGTGAACCCAGTCATGGGGGATGTAAAAAGGGATTTTCTAAATCTAAACTTATCCAATTTATACACATTGTTTCCTGTTCTGTCTTGTGTTGACACTTTTAATACCTATTAATATCCCTTTTATGCCCATTCGTCCACTTTCACACCTCTATCATGTGACCCCTAATTCTTAAATTTTCTAGAGTGTAATTTAAGCTTTGTCAATCTTTCTTCATATGACAGATTTCTAATTTGAGGGATGAACTTTGTCATCCTACGCTGGACGCGTTCTAGTGAATTTATATCCATTCTATAGTACGGCGACCAGAACTGAGCTGCATAATCTAAATGGGGCCTAACCCGAGCAAGATATAGCTGAAGAACCACACCAGGTGTCTTATTACTAACGCTTCGATTAATAATTCCCAGTGTCCTATTCGCCTTATTACGAACATTATTGCATTGATCGTTTGGTTTTAAATTCTTACTAATCATAACTCCCAGATCACTTTCGCAATCTCAACACCATCTAGCTCGTATCTTGTAACTATCATCATTACCTAACCTCAAAACCTTATATATGTTAGCATTAAACTGCATCTGCCAATCTCTTGACAATTTATCTTTGCCCTGTTGTATGAACTTCATAGTTTGGTTTTGCCCTTTTTATCTCTTTTTTAACATCAGATTCTCACCAGTTGGACGAATTCTCGTTCTAAACTGACTTCCCCATTCATAAGAACAAAGGTAACTGCAGAAGGCCTATTGGCCCATACGAAGCAGCTCCTATCTATAATCACCCAATCCCACTCATATACTTGTCCAACCCGCACTTGAAACAATCGAGGGACACCACCTCCACCACGTTACGCGGCAACCCTGTTACCGAACCAGTATTTACCCAAGTCTAAATCTAAATCTTTCCTAAAGGGGTTTGCGATGTGGACTCAAAATATAACCTATTTAAAAATATTCTAAGCGAAGCCCAGGTAAAAATCTAAGCGAAGCGAAGATAAAAAGGGGAAGATAAGCGAAGATAAAAATCTAAGCGAAGCCCAGGAACGTAGTATACCATATAAATTGAATAGATCGAATACCAATGACCCAAAGTGGATAACAAAGAATTTGAAGAACCTTATAGGTAAAAAGAGAGCTTGGTACAAAAGGATTAAAAATGGGGAGGTCACTTTAGAACAGGAATTCGTACAACTGGTTAGAAATGTTAAAAAAGAGATAAGGAAAGCAAAAAGAAACTATGAAGTTCGCATAGCAAGCAAAGACAACTCCTAAAGGGTTTTTCCAGTTATACGGGACAAAGATTAGGGAGAGGATAGGTCCATTAAAAACTGAGACAGGTCAAATAACAGATAATGATGAAGAGCTGAGTAGGATTTTTAATAAATATTTTATATCTGTATTTACTAAAGAGGAACTTAACAATATGCCTTCAGCCGAACAAGTATATGTGGGTGGGGCCGAGGACAGGTTGACTAGTTTAGCAGTTACCAGGGAGGATGTAATTAAACAAATAGTTGTTTAATTACATCCAACTCAAACCAAACAAATCCCCAGGGCCGGATGAAGTGTTTGCCAGGGTGCTTAAAGAATGCAAAGAGGAGCTTTGCGACCCACTGTCTACCATATAACCACCAAATCCCACTCATAAAGATTTCTAATTAGGGGATTAACTTTGTTAGGAGCTGCCTCGTATGGGCCTTCTGCAGTTACCTAAGAATAAAGGTAAGTGCAGAAGGCCTATTGGCCCATACGAGGCAGCTCCGATCTATAACCACCGAATCCCACTCATATACTTGTCCAACCCACGTTTAAAACAGATAACCTTTATTCTTATCTTCATTAATTAAAGCCTCTGGGCTTTACACATGAAGCTGGAGCAACTGTGACATCCGTAAATGCTTTCCCATTATAACTAGTCATAAATGGTCAGAACAAAAACAAATTTGATAAAAATTAAATGTATTTGTTTATTTTCACATAAAGGTAATGTGTACATTAAAATATTTGCTGGCTCGGGAGTAAAACAATTCAGTTTTTCTTAGGAATTAAACCTAAAGAAAATAAAAAACTTTCTTGATCCATGTGATGAGTGAAGGCTTGAGGCTGGCTTCCAGCAGCAGCTTGTGGTGTGGTAGCCGCGACACTCTTCACCTGCTGGACGCCTCCGGACTCCGTACTTCTCTTCATCCTGATGTCGGCCATTGTCTGTTCTATCAGGAAGGCCTCAACGATTGAACTGTTAACAAGCTTATATGGTTTCTTTTTAGAATGTCTTTTGCGAGCAATCTTATCAGGAAGATTGTTTGCTGATGCATTTTCATGGGAAAAATTCCTTCCTGCCTCCTTCTTCTTGGCTGAAGCCTTGAGCTTGGCTTCATCAGAGCACTTGTTGACTTTATAATGCATTAACCGACCAGGAATTTTAACCTGTGTGAGGGCGCCTGAAGTAACACCTCGCCTCAAAGCCAGCTTCAGATGGATGTCAGCGTCCTTCTCGTTAACCGGGAAATTACAGACGACGAACTTCAGAATATCCTGATGGGAGGAGCCTTGACTACTATTAATGAATGTGATGGCGGCAACAACCATCTCAGAATACTTGAGATGGTTCGCAGTCCTGTCCAAAACATCAGATGTCTTAGTTTTGGACCTTAAGACGACCATCTTGTGGGCTATCGTAAGACTCGATGCAGACAACTCGTATTGATCCTACACTTTCAAGAGGTAATGAGTGATTGCGTTGACTTCTCTTCTAAGGCTATATATAACAGCTAAAGTCAGGTGAGTACACGTCACTCACCTGTACACAGTCAGGTGTCCACAGCACCGTTCTTGTGCCAGGTAAGTTCACTACGGGCTCACCATAGCCCGTGCTACTTGGAACTTGTTCCGAGTAGCTGAATCTATAACAACAGGTGAGTAACATAAGAATAAAGGTAACTGCAGAAGGCCTATTGACAGATACGAACATAAGCATAAAGGTAGCTGAGGCAGTTGAAAGTGGTAAGGATTGTGCTGTTGTGTACCTTGACTTTAGCAAAGCTTTTGATACAGTGCCACATGAAAGACTAATTAAAAAAATAGAAGCTCATGGTATTGGGGGTGCTATATTAAGTTGGATTAGGGCATTGCTGTTCCAGAGGAAACAGAGAGTTAGTATAAATGGGGTTTAGTCAGAGTGGGATAATGTTCTTAGTGGAGTACCACAGGGCTCTGTCCTGGGACCTCTGCTGTTTATAATATATATAAATGATTTAGATTCAGGTTTGAGTAGCAACATCTGCAAATTTGCAGATGATACAAAAATCGGTAGGGAAAATCAACACGAAAGAAGACTCGCTATCACTTCAAGTTGATCTAAATAGGGTTTTAAAATGGTCAAAAGACTGGCAGATGCAGTTTAATGCTAATATATGTAAAGTTTTGAAGGTAGGTAATGATGATAGAGTTACAAGATACGAGCTAGATGGTGTTGAGATTGCGAAAGGGATCTGGGAGTTATGATTAGTAAGAATTTAAAACAAAAAGGATCAATGCATGAATGTTCGTAATAAGGCGAATAAGACACTGGGATTTATTAATCGAAGCGTTAGTAACAAGATACCTGGTGTGGTTCTTCAGCTATATCTTGCTCTGGTTAGGCCCCATTTAGATTATGCAGTTCAGTTTTGGTCGCCGTACTATAGAATGTATATAAATTCACTAGAACTCGTCCAGCGTAGGATAAGAACAAGGTAACTGCAGAAGGCCTATTGGCCCATACGAGGCAGCTCCTATCTATAACCACCCAATCCCACTCATATACTTGTCCAACCCGCGCTTGAAACAATCGAGGGACCCCCACCTCCACCACGTTATGTGGTAATTGGTTCCACAAATCAACAACTCTGTTACCGAACCAGGCTATATAACCAGGTTTTCAAGCTATATCTTGCTCTAGTTAGGCCCCATTTAGATTATGCAGTTCAGTTTTGGTCGCCATATTATAGAATGGATATAAATTCACTTGAACGTGTCCAGCGTAGGATGACTAAGTTAATTCCCCAAATTAGAAATCTTTCATATGAAGAAAGATTAACAAAGCTTAAGTTGCATTCACTGGAAAGGCGAAGAGTTAGGGGTGACATGAAAGAGGTTTACAAGTGGGTGAATGGACATAACAAAGGGGATATTAATAGGGTATTAAAAGTATCAACACAAGACAGAACACGAAACAATGGGTATAAATTGGATAAGTTTAGATTTAGGAAAGACTTGGGTAAATACTGGTTCAGTAACAGGGTTGTTGATTGTGGAACCATTGCCGCGTAACATTGTGGAGGTGGGGTCCCTCGATTGTTCCAAGCATGGGTTGGACATGTATATGAGTGGGATTGGGGGGTTATAAATAGGAGCTGCCTCGTATGGGCTAATAGGCCTTCTGCAGTTGCATGGTGACAAATGTAAGGTTTTGAGGCTAGGTAATGATGATAGAGTTACAGGAGACGAACTTGATGGTGTTGAGAGTGCGAAGTCGGATTGCGAAAGGGATCTGGGAGTTATGATTAGTAAGAATTAAAAAAAAAAAATCCATGCATAAATGTTCGTAAAAAAGGCGACTCACCTTGCCGTAGGGTGTGAGGCGGCGGGTGTTAGTTTAGAGTGACTCACCTTGCCGTAGGGTGTGAGGCCGCGGGTGTTAGTTTAGAGTGACTCACCTTGCCGTAGGGTGTGAGGCCGCGGGTGTTAGTTTAGAGTGACTCACCTTGCCGTAGGGTGTGAGGCGGCGGGTGTTAGTTTACAGTGACTCACCTTGCCGTAGGGTGTGAGGCCGCGGGTGTTAGTTTAGAGAGACTCACCTTGCCGTAGGGTGTGAGGCGGCGGGTGTTAGTTTACAGTGACTCACCTTGCCGTAGGGTGTGAGGCCGCGGGTGTTGGGCGGGTGGGAGCCCGGCTCTGAGCACTCCGCCCTGGGGAGGGAAACAAGGAGAATATACCGTCAATATCTGCCACCTGTGTCGCCTCAGGAACACACCGAACTAGGGGGGGGGGGAGGTTATTGAACCATTATTCACAGCGGCAGGCAGACGCCAGGAGTTATCAAATCAGGAGACCAGGCTCCTTCTACGTGCTACCCTTCCGCACACAAGCTTTACCACATAGTCGGCAACAATTATAATATTTATCTTGCCTTTAGTAAGGATTTTAGCACTGAAAGCCGCTAGAGGCTGATCGCCCAAGAGATTGAAGAGGATGTTCTCAAGTGAACAAGAGTCTGCTTGAAATACAAAGCAAGTTAGCGAGAAAAATCCAAGTTTTCAAATGCAAGCAAGTTTGTTTGTCAAGTTTGTTTGTCAGAATGGATAAATGTGACCATTGGCGGGTCCCAGGACCCTAGAGAGAGACCACGGACACGGTACCTTGGTTCAACATCTCGTAGATCAGATATCATCTCACTCTCATATCTTGAGGTCGAGAGGTAAGGGAATACGGTACAGTAACCATGGTCCTATAAACACGGCAAAATTGTCTCATAATGGTGGCACAATGGTACCATAATACAATAAATATAACCCTTAATAGAGTGACCTAGTATGAGGAGGGAGGGAGGGAGCATGGAGGAGGGTGAGGAAAGACAAGGGTGAAGGTAAGGGAGGATGAGAGTAAAGGCGAGGGTGACGCAAGGGCTAGGAAGGGTGAGTATAAGGGAAAGGGATGGTAGAGGGGACGCACTTGAGTGAGAGAGGGGGCTTAAAATTGAAGGGAGGGACCGGACTCACCAGGGAGGGGAACTCAGATGGGGCCTAACAGGGAAGGAGAGTCAACAGGAGAAGGAACTCGCTGGGAGAGAGGGAACTCACCACGGGAGAATACTCATCAAGAGAGGGGGCTCATCAGGAGAGGGCGACTCATCAGGAGAGGGAGACTCATTAGGAGAGGGAGACTTATTAGGAAATGGAGCTAATCAAGGGAGGGGATTCATCAGAAGGGGAACTTATCAGTAAAGGGAGTTCATCAGGAGAAGGGGAAGGGGGGGGGGGACTTACCAAGGGGTGTGGCACTTGTGGGTAAGGGTGACGTAGCGTATGCCCAGATCATACAGCGCCCGCACCACGCCCATGCTGCTGGCCAGCCCATGACCGCCCTCCACGCCCATCAGGCTTGCCACACGCCCACGCTCGAACTCCTCCATGATCCCTAGGGGGGCAAAGGGCAAGCTAACATGAATCCAGGGGAAGAGGGCTGGAGGTCAGGGTACCATGTTCCCTGGGGGAACATGGTACCCCCTCCCCCTCCTGGGGGGGGGGGGCAGAGGTTAAAGTTCAGGGAACTTGTAACCACTATACCATGGAGGCAGAGATCAGGGGGTTAGAAAGCAAGGTACCATGATCCCAGAGGTGAAAAGGTCAGTGTCCATTGCACCGTTTTCTGAAAACAGGGACTACATCTCACGGTACTCTTAACTCTTACTGGGAAAATATCACAATTTACGGTATCATAAATTTGAGGTCAGGACACGATACCACCCAGGGGTGAAGTGTTCAGTACCATATACTCCCAGGGAAAGTCATGACACTGATTCTTGGAGCCACTGATCTGTTTATCACTGGGTATAGACATTAAGGCATGAGTATACTCCTGTGGGGGGGGGGGGGAAGCAGATATCTTATTAGATCTGCTTTTTAGCCGGAAGCTACGACACCTCTTTATCCTTTGTCTCTGTGTCATCTGGCTTTCTATATTTCTTCGGTTTTCCTTACGAAGTTGGCGGTCCTCGGTCTTGGTACATATCCCTGCCCACCTTCCTCACTCTCAGGATTTCATCGAGAGATTAGGACTGAAGCCTTATTGTAAGATGCTTAATGTTGATGTTGGTCTCTCTTATGGTGTTCCTCTGAGGGGGCTTCATGGTCTCTCGTTCCCACTGACGTCCTCTTCCATCTTATCAGACGCTGTGTTGACTCTAACTTCTTCTCTATCAATGGTAAATACTTCACTCTAACTCATAGTGTCATTCTGTGATCTCTTCTTCCTGTTCTTGCCAGTCTCTATGTAGAATACTTTTAAACTGTTTTTCTTATCACTATTGATATTAGCCCTTCTTGTTGACCAAACTACACACTAGAAAGTGAAGGGACGACGACGACGTTTCGGTCCGTCCTGGACCATTCTCAAGTCGCTGAATGGATCCTTCTTTCTGGCTTCGCTATGTTGATATTTTTGTCTTTGGCGTCGTGACTAATAATTTCTAACATTTCCTCTCTGTTCTAAACAGTCCGGTTCCTTCCAGCAATTTCAACATTGAATGGGAATCTAATTCCCTTACTAGATGTGGATTGATAACTCTATTTGCTTCGTTCTTGTGTCTTGTGGTGTCTGTTTAGGTCTCTCTCTCTCTCTCTCTCTCTCTCTCTCTCTCTCTCTCTCTCTCTCTCTCTCTCTCTCTCTCTCTCTCTCTCTCTCTCTCTCTCTCTCTCTCTCTCTCTCTCTCTCTCTCTCTGTGCTAAAAATTTCGTGTTAATCAAAAACAGCTGCACTAATATTCTTTCTGTTTTAACAACTTCTTTACATTACAAGAATGAGTCTTTAGTACAAGAAATGATTCTAATACAATTTCCTTTTGGGTCATTCTCTCACTGAAGTCATTCCTTGCCTCACTCCTCCCTCCATCACCTCTCACCTGCGGAGGAGCGGACGAGGGTGGTGTCGGCGGGACTCGCAGCAATCATCCTCTTCACTACGTCGATCTGTTCCAGGAGCAGCTGTACCGTATTGAGGTACTGCGCCTCGCACGGTACGTACACCGACCAGAACTGTGGATGAGACGGTCCTCTGGTGAGTGTGAGACGGTACAGTGGTCATTGTGGGTGAGATGGTACAGTGGTCATTGTGGGTAAGACGGTACACTGACCATTGTGGGGTGAGGCAGTGTAAATCTATCAGTAATCATGACTCCCAGATTCCTTTCGCAATCAATCTTGGCAGTCTCAACACCATTCAGCTGATACCCTGTAATTATCATCATTACCTAGCCTCAAAACCTTACATTTGTCGGCATTAAACTGCACTGCCAGACTTTTGGCCACTTCAAAACCCTATTTATATCGCCTTGAAGTGATTTTGAGTCTTCAGAGTTTTTTCCCTTCCGATTTTTGTATCGTCGTTTGCAAATATTGCTCCTCAACCCTGAATTTAAAAAAAAAATTACATATATAATAAATAACAGAGGTCCCAGAACAGTCTTGAGGGACTCCACTTACAACATTTTCCCACTCTGATTTAACCCCATTGATACTAACTCTTTGTTTCCTTTGGTATAGCCATGCCCTAATCCAACTTAATATAGCACCCCCAATACCATGAGCCTCTATTTTTTTAATCAGTCTTTCATGTGGCACTGTGTCAAAAGTTTTGCTAAAGTCAAGGTACACAACATCACAAACCTTACCACTATCAACTGCCTCAACTATGCTGGAATCGTTTAATAGCAAGTTTGACAAACATGAACGGTCCTTAGTGAAACCATGTTGCGAATCATTGATTAATCTATATTTTTCAAGATTGCAATTTTTGCAGTTATCGATTTAAGCAATTTTCCCACAATATACGTTGAGTTAATTGGCCGATAGTCTGATACAAGTGATCTATTTCCTTTCTTAAAAATTGGTACCACATTAGCAACCTTCCACGACTCTGCCACTCTACCTGACTCAAATGTTTTATTAAATATAGTAAACAACTGCTCACAAAGCCCCTCTATACATTCTTTAAGCACCCTGGCAAACACTTCGTCCGGCCCTGGGGACTTGTCTGACTTGAGTTTTTCTATTTGTTTAGTAACATTGTCCCTCTTAACTGCTAAACTAGTCAACCTGTCCTCTGTCCCACCATTATAGACCGGCTCAACTGAAGGCATAATGTTAAGGTCTTCTTTAGACAGAGACAATTTAAAGGAGGCAAGACGGTACACTGGTCAACATAAAGGAGGCAAGACGGTACACTGGTCAACATAAAGAAGCAAGACGGTACACTGGTCAACATAAAGAAGCAAGACGGTACACTGGTCAACATAAAGGAGGCAAGACGGTACACTGGTCAACATAAAGAAGCAAGACGGTACACTGGTCAACATAAAGAAGCAAGACGGTACACTGGTCAACATAAAGAAGCAAGACGGTACACTGGTCAACATAACGGAGGCAAGACGGTACACTGGTCAACATAAAGAAGCAAGACGGTACACTGGTCAACATAAAGAAGCAAGACGGTACACTGGTCAACATAAAGAAGCAAGACGGTACACTGGTCAACATAAAGAAGCAAGACGGTACACTGGTCAACATAAAGAAGCAAGACGGTACACTGGTCAACATAAAGAAGCAAGACGGTACACTGGTCAACATAAAGAAGCAAGACGGTACACTGGTCAACATAAAGGAGGCAAGACGGTACACTGGTCAACATAAAGAAGCAAGACGGTACACTGGTCAACATAAAGGAGGCAAGACGGTACACTGGTCAACATAAAGGAGGCAAGACGGTACACTGGTCAACATAAAGGAGGCAAGACGGTACACTGGTCAACATAAAGGAGGCAAGACGGTACACTGGTCAACATAAAGAAGCAAGACGGTACACTGGTCAACATAAAGAAGCAACACGGTACACTGGTCAACATAAAGAAGCAGGACGGTACACTGGTCAACATAAAGAAGCAGGACGGTACACTGGTCAACATAAAGGAGGCAAGACGGTACACTGGTCAACATAAAGGAGGCAAGACGGTACACTGGTCAACATAAAGAAGCAAGACGGTACACTGGTCAACATAAAGGAGGCAGGACGGTACACTGGTCAACATAAAGAAGCAAGACGGTACACTGGTCAACATAAAGGAGGCAAGACGGTACACTGGTCAACATAAAGAAGCAAGACGGTACACTGGTCAACATAAAGAAGCAAGACGGTACACTGGTCAACATAAAGAAGCAAGACGGTACACTGGTCAACATAAAGGAGGCAAGACGGTACACTGGTCAACATAAAGAAGCAAGACGGTACACTGGTCAACATAAAGAAGCAAGACGGTACACTGGTCAACATAAAGAAGCAAGACGGTACACTGGTCAACATAAAGAAGCAAGACGGTACACTGGTCAACATAAAGAAGCAAGACGGTACACTGGTCAACATAAAGAAGCAAGACGGTACACTGGTCAACATAAAGAAGCAAGACGGTACACTGGTCAACATAAAGGAGGCAAGACGGTACACTGGTCAACATAAAGAAGCAAGACGGTACACTGGTCAACATAAAGGAGGCAAGACGGTACACTGGTCAACATAAAGGAGGCAAGACGGTACACTGGTCAACATAAAGGAGGCAAGACGGTACACTGGTCAACATAAAGGAGGCAAGACGGTACACTGGTCAACATAAAGAAGCAAGACGGTACACTGGTCAACATAAAGAAGCAACACGGTACACTGGTCAACATAAAGAAGCAGGACGGTACACTGGTCAACATAAAGAAGCAGGACGGTACACTGGTCTACATAAAGGAGGCAAGACGGTACACTGGTCAACATAAAGGAGGCAAGACGGTACACTGGTCAACATAAAGAAGCAAGACGGTACACTGGTCAACATAAAGGAGGCAGGACGGTACACTGGTCAACATAAAGAAGCAAGACGGTACACTGGTCAACATAAAGAAGCAAGACGGTACACTGGTCAACATAAAGGAGGCAGGACGGTACACTGGTCAACATAAAGAAGCAAGACGGTACACTGGTCAACATAAAGAAGCAAGACGGTACACTGGTCAACATAAAGAAGCAAGACGGTACACTGGTCAACATAAAGGAGGCAAGACGGTACACTGGTCAACATAAAGAAGCAAGACGGTACACTGGTCAACATAAAGAAGCAAGACGGTACACTGGTCAACATAAAGAAGCAAGACGGTACACTGGTCAACATAAAGAAGCAAGACGGTACACTGGTCAACATAAAGAAGCAAGACGGTACACTGGTCAACATAAAGAAGCAAGACGGTACACTGGTCAACATAAAGGAGGCAAGACGGTACACTGGTCAACATAAAGAAGCAAGACGGTACACTGGTCAACATAAAGAAGCAAGACGGTACACTGGTCAACATAAAGAAGCAAGACGGTACACTGGTCAACATAAAGAAGCAAGACGGTACACTGGTCAACATAAAGGAGGCAAGACGGTACACTGGTCAACATAAAGAAGCAAGACGGTACACTGGTCAACATAAAGAAGCAAGACGGTACACTGGTCAACATAAAGAAGCAAGACGGTACACTGGTCAACATAAAGAAGCAAGACGGTACACTGGTCAACATAAAGAAGCAAGACGGTACACTGGTCAACATAAAGAAGCAAGACGGTACACTGGTCAACATAAAGAAGCAAGACGGTACACTGGTCAACATAAAGAAGCAAGACGGTACACTGGTCAACAAGTAACTTTAGATTATGTTATTATTTCTTCGTTCCATTTGCCGTCTTAATCATCATATTCATCGTGACAATAAACACCATTGTCATCAAAGTTGAAACACTCGATCAAAGAGCCACAAACGATTTGTTACTAACAAGGCTGTTTGTTAGTAGGTAGTTGATAGCGGCACAGGGAGCCGGTCGGCCGAGCGGACAGCACGCTGGACTTGTGATCCTGTGGTCCTGGGTTCGATCCCAGGCGCCGGCGAGAAACAATGGGCAGAGTTTCTTTCACTCTATGCTCCTGTTACCTAGCAGTAAAATAGGTACCTGGGTGTTAGTCAGCTGTCACGGGCTGCTTCCTGGGGGTGGAGGCCTGGTCGAGGACCGGGCCGCGGGGACACTAAAGCCCCGAAATCATCTCAAGATAACCTCAAGATAACAACCGTCCTCTCAACTAATACAACTAAATTTGTACGTTGTCGCCCCTCAACGTACCAATAACAAAAGTACTGAAATATGTAGAGGCTCAGAAAAATCCGCTCTATATATATATTAGTTGGTTAAGGTAAGGTGGGTGGCGTTTTCTGGTTAGGTTAGTCTCTAACCTGCTGCATGGGTGACTGCTTCTTCCCCGTATCAACCTACCCTGACTTGGCGCCCTGGGGCCAGATTCACGAAAGCATTTACGAAAGCACTTACGAACCTGTACATCTTTTCTCAATCTTTGGCGACTTTGTTTCCAAATATTAAACAGTTAATGAGCTCCGAAGCCCCAGGAGGCTGTTTATAACAATAACAACAGTTGATTGGGAAGTTTTCATGCTTGTAAACTGTTTAATAAATGTAACCAAAGTCGTCAAAGATTGAGGAAAGATGTACACGTTCGTAAGTACTTGCGTAAGTGCTTTCGTGAATCTGGCTCCTGGAGAGGCCACTCCAGACCGACAACCAGAGCGCAACGCCATAGTCTCCTTACCTTGAGGTGCTTCCGGGGCTTAGCGTCCCCGCGGCCCGGTCGTCGACCAGGCCTCCTGAGACTGATGGATGCCCACTGCTAGTCTCTTGTATTTTGTACGTTGTGGCCAATAAAGAGAACGGTCTGGACACAACGTAGAGACCGATATCAGTGACAAATGTTACCTCAAAATATACTAGTAACTTTTATGGAACATTACAACCTCAAGTTCCTCCTCCAGGAAGGTGTGTAGTGTGTTTGTGACTCGGGTTGAGAAACAGCTCTTGGCTCCACTGGGCTCTAATCGTTCGGCTATAATCTTATTTCTCTAGTTGTATGTTGTGTCTTTATGACTCAAAATTGCTTTTTGCTTTGAACATTTT